CAGGTAGATAGCAACGCGTGAGATACTTGTTAGCCAATAGATGGTCGGTATTAGGGATATTGACCAATGAAATGATAGTTCAGCGAAGACCACTGTTTGTTAAAGGTGATCATTCTTTCAACCAGTCGGTGTACAGAATCAGACTTATTAACCAATCAAAAGATAGATCAGAATACTGATATCACTCAATGAAATAAAGTAACGTTGTTTACACATCGACAAAAATATATCCCATATTCAATCAACCACGTCAATAGTGAATCAAAGTTACCCTGTCACTGATAATTACTTATTTTATTCATAAAATGTCAACATTGGGAAGTTTTAACAAGACTAAGTGTGAGAAAGTTCTCACCACTCTATACTACAGTCTAACCTGGTACAGAGATGGGATGTCAAAACCGACCGCTGTCAACCCTTCTTAGCCTATGCTGTGTTGTTTCTCCATGCACTGAAATATTTACCAAGCTACAAAATTGTAGTTAGGGGAGGTTATTCACTAAATCGACGCCATTTTAGCGTTGCGTGGAGTTAGCGTGGAGTTTGCGTGTTATTTGCGGGGTCGCTAACTTATAGCGTAGCGTGCTATTCACAGAGGCTCCCACAAACTTCACGCAAATTCCACGCTATTGCTAGTATTAGCGACCACGCAAACTGACGTATTTGGCCATTTTGCAACAGTGAGAACACAGAACGATGAGGGTTCCCGATCTGAATTAAACCAGCAGGAGAGAAGAATTGTTGGCCTGCTCGGAGAGGCCCGTATCGCTGGGATTGTTGATGGGTTAGAGATTAGGGTGATTGAAGAGTAACAATATAAGGCACTGGCACAGGGTTGAAGTTATGTTAACAATAATTGTGATGCTAATATGTAATGAACTAAATCAAAGAAGATCATAACTGTTATCCTATAAATCTTCTTGGACCTAATAAAGCAATTCATAATACTTATAATCTACATTTACGGAAATAACATTATTGGGACAATTGTCTGTGGAAAATACAGAATCATAAAAACCCTGCTTCAAATTTTCTGGAATAATGAAGAATCAGCAGCCGAACAGTCCTTCGAAGACTTCGTTCAGTTGATATACGAGCCTTTCGACCCTTCCGTGGAATGGCGTTGACCCGTCTACATCGTCAACGCACACTACAATAGGCACGAACTGTACGTCGGTGGCAGCGACGTGACTGGGCGGGGGTGCTCTTTACAGATGAAAGTCGGTTCTGTCTGTTCAGGAACGATGGCAGGGTTCGAGTTTTTCGACGAAGGGGAGAGCGACTGGCGCCAAACTGCATCACAGAAGTTCACCCGTTTGGAGGTGGAGGTGGAGGCATTATGGTATGGGGTGGAAAAGGATTCCTGTTGACGTTATCCGCCGCCTGACGACGTCAATGAGGAGGCTTGTGTTTGCGTGCATGTTGGCCAAACTCGTTTTGCCTGACTACTATCATGGAGTAATCTCTTTATGCACTTTTGCATTACACTTTGGTTTGTGTAATTTTTAATTTTGACCCCTTGACTCTTCCTTTTTGTATTGCGGAGAATTAAATATCGGTATTACAATGTATTTTCATTCTAATTCAAGGAAATTGATTTCTGTTTATAAATCAATCATCATATATCTCACATATGCCTTTGTCTGTGGTGTGTGGCCAAATGAAGTCGGTGAAAACTTTCTTTTGCCTATCAGTTTATAAAGTACAAAGATAGTTAATAAAATGAGAATATTCTATTCTGTTAGATCACTCTACATCATCGGTGGGGTAAAGTTGACCACGAACAACTATTTCCTGTAGATTTTTATTTTTCGAATAAGCTATGACTAATTTTTTGTAAAAAATAGTGGGAAATTTATTTTGTAACTCTGTGTAGTATCTTTTGATAATTCGGGATGCTTGACAAGGAATGTTATTGAATGGAGCAACAAATGGGATTATTTGAGAATCAAACTGTATATTTAGTCCACAGGGTGAAATAGTTTTTAGTTGATTCATCCAAAAGCTCTCCCTGTATAGTCTTGAACTTTTAGGGTTGGTGTCTTCTTCTGCGATGACCTGTTCTATGGGCGCCACCTTCATATCTGCGAGGGAATGGTTGAGAGAGTTGAAATGGTTCCCAATAGGTTTACCCAGATGATGGGAGATGTCGAAACGATGGCCGTTAATTCTTTCTATTAGATACGGCTGATCCTGTCGAGCCATGTAGGCCTAGGGTGAGTATTGAACCAACCACTCCAAATACTAGTGAAAAGGGCTATTTATGATACATATGTTTTTCAGTCCCTTTTAAACGTTTCGGTCATATAAAGAAATCCTTTTTATCATTTTTGTACAGCATTGTTTATTACATGCGTAGGCCAATCATAGAAATGAAGTAAGTAAATTTACTACAGGCTTATTCATATGTGTATCGGGCTCACCGATGGCATCAGTTTGCACCATTCCAATCGACGTCATGTGGTTATTGCAGTTCCACTAAAACATTAAAAGCGTTAGTTTTGGTGAAATTGCAAGAATCACAGAGATCTGAATGAAATCTGAATGTTGTAAATCGATGCTATCAATGTTACCAAAACACATAACAAGTTTAGAAACTCATTACAACCCCTTTAACTATGGACCTTTAAAATTCTATTTTCTTCTCTCTGTTTCAACAGAAAACACTGTGCTCAGTTTTGACTCGTTTCACGTGGATACCGATTTCGGCGCCAACGACCCATAAAATCTAGACCTTTCTTTCGAAGAACAGGCCCAGGAAGATAACCTACCAGAAGTATTGTTTAGAATCAGGGCCTCAACCCTTGTTCAGCAGTCGTGTCAGCCAGATCCTCTCCAGAACTTTTCCCGATTGCCGCTTCGTCCTCCAAACCTATTGTCGCTCCGTTCTCCAAACCGAACCATCATTCGGCTGAAAAGTCCAAAGTTAGTGAAGACTGGAAATTGAAGAACGACGTTACCAACTTGAGGAACGGAACACGTCTCTATTGGAGAGACTCCTGTCTGTACAAGAGAAGAGACTTCATTTGGAGGAAATAAAAGCTGACCAGGGTCAGCGAAGGAAAACTGTTCATACCCCTGAAACCACTGCTAATGATAGAACTGGTAATATCTTCACAAATATGTTACAAGGGCAATAATAAGTCTGTGGGGTGAACCATAGCGGGTTTGACTGTATATATTTTTTTGTGTATTTCAGAGACATTCCAACTCCAAGCTCTAAGATGGACTTTATCATTTTTATTTACAAATTACAGTAATATGTTGTATATGTTTAAAACGGTATTTTTTTTTTATAGCTTTCGAATCGCATTAAAACATGTGTCCAAGATTGTATCTTTGTTGACAATAAAGTCTAAATTAAAAAAAAAAAACAGTATATATCGTATCATCTGCTGCGACGTTTTAGACTGGTTTGATCAGGCAAATGATTCTGTTACAATCCTATTCCGCACAGCAAGTCCGTCGTTTCGTATTTCGACTGGTTGTGGTGGGTTGATCATCGTCTGGGTTGTCATCCAGGTTTGGGGGAGCATCACCAGGGACTGGGACCCGGTTTTCTTCGCATATTTAAACTGCTGTTGCAACGATAAGATTGACACATCGTTCTGGCCGAAGTGTCATGGCGCCACCTGAAAGTAAAGGATCACTTATAAACTGACGAAATGATGAAGAAATATATGGTCGACATAATATCATTATGGTGATGGTGGTTTAGGGTAATAATTGATTCTGAGATTATCAAACACGATGAAATTCTACCAAATTTATGAAGGCAAAGCCACCACCCGAATGTATTTTCAATTTTCTGTCTCGTCCGACGATGGTGTTGGTTAAAAGTGGTTTCCGCTTCATTCTGTGGTTGGGGAATCGGTGTTATCAGCCAAGAGCGTAGACACTATCTCCAAGCAGGCATCCCTCTCGGATGTTCGTATCTTCGAAATCTTGATGCAAACGACAGTTATTCCATATAAAGGCATCATGGGTGCTTCCTGGCCATTTTGAAACAATGTTGGTAAACTCAGCTGATTATTAAAATCCCCTGAACGTTGATCGCATGAAAACCTTTGCGACAAACAAAGGCGTCTTCGTTTGAATGCGGCGCTTTAATTGCCACTTAACTCAATGCAGCCAATGACATTGGGAATGCGTGTTCTGATTTCGTCGAAGAAACCTTCTTTAACTGCTTGTTGGGCCTGCTGTTGTCTGGGAAATGTAAGAAATATAATTATTTCCCTGCTTCTTCTTGCAAGTGCTGCTGAAGCCCGATTGACGATGCGGGAAACGGATGCTTGGCTAATCCCACAAAGATCACTGCTGACGTATTGGAAATTTCCACTGGCATAAGAACGCAGAGCACAGAGTACTTGCAGTGCAGCAGGTATGGCATGGGAACGTTCAGTTTGCGGAGCAATTTCAGCCTCGATCAAGTCGATGACTTCCAAAATTACCGGGCGTGGCATACGATACCTTTTCAATAAGTCCGTGTCATCATACACATATAAGGGATTTATTCTGTCCCTGCAATATTCTGTTTCGGAGAATTCCTCAATGAGCATCTTCCTCTTCAGCAAGCAAAAGGGCCATTTTTAAGTAGTGATGTTTGTGTGGCCTTTGCTTGAGCTATAATTGAAGCACTCTAAATTAATATTCCGATTAGCGTGCTGAATTGTACAGTCTTGCTAATAAAGCGCGGCCTTTGTGAATCGACCCGAATGACGTGCGTCTGGTTTGCGAGAGCTTAGCGGGCCCGCAAACGGTTGCGCGGCTTTAGTGAATAACCCACCAGGAAGACAACATCCCTGTAAACGAGGTCAAGTGGTTATCTCGAGCCATACTGAAGATCTTACAGAATGAATAGAACAGTGGCAGATATCTGTAGAAAGACCAATCTCATCTGTCCAGTGTTTCTATTTATAACTCTATGGTTTACATTTGCCGCTATTGTTAGCGCCTGCGCATTACTAATTTCTCCACTTCCGTCATGTCAATTTAAGGAAAACAAAATGGAGTCAAAATGATGAATCGAGTTGTTTTTCTCTTGTAATATTTCAATTTCTGCGAAATCAAAATAGTCATGACATAATCAGACGGTTGGAATATAAAATACAGACATTTAATTTTGACTCTGATGGGTTATTTACTCCCATTTTGTTGTACATCGTGAATGATGTGCACTGCAATCAGTAACAGTGGTTCTCCAAGGTTGCTGCCATCTTCCTGCAGGTCCTATGATTATCTGCTGAAATTCCTGTTAGTTGGAGACAGTGATGTCGGTAAAGAGGAATTATTGTCGGGAATGGATGATGGTGCGATGGAATCGCCGTATGGTTACTCCAGTTCAGGTAATGATATGGATGGTTTTTGTATGATTTTTTTATAAATAAATTTTTGTAAATTATTTTCGGCCTGTTGACATAACATAAACATGTTATGTCACAACAAAAGAAATGTTATTCGTCTAAATTTAACCAAGGTAAAGACAAAATTTTTATCTTTATAAATTTTAATTTTATCTAAACTTATGATCATAATTACTGATGTTTTTGGTAGGCCTAACTATAATACAGGCCAACCATCATGATAATATGAATATCTTAATAAATTTAAGGCTTACTGTTTTTAAATAAAAAAAAAATGGATAAATTAATGACTAAGAAGATAATCCTTTTGATGCTTGTGATGATTATATGAAAGGAATAACTTATAAGCCTACTACTTATTTAAACTTTATTTTGAAAAAAGTAATGACAATTTATTAGTACGGTACATGAAGAAAATGACAAAGAAAATATAAGGACTGACAAGATCTTATTTTTGAGACTTAACTTAACCCTTTAAACACTGAGTGTAATGAAATATAACATCATATACCTTTAACCCTTTAAACACTGAGTGTAATAAAATATAACGTCATATACCCTGAACTCCAAGTAATAAAAGTAAAAGTGTATGACGTTAACGTTGTATGACATCACTTAGTAACGGCTGGTATACTGGCGGCTGGGGTATATATTGCATTAGTGTTTGGCGGTTAAAACAGCCGCTAGGGTTGAAAGGGTTAAGATTTAAATGTTCTAGTCACCTGATTGGTCAATCACTAAAATATATTTTGAAAGTAGTGTTTATTATCCAGTATTATTCAGATTATTGTAAACTAGATTTTATCTAAGTTAAGTTTTCATGAATAAGGCCCTAGGACCAAGTACTTGAGTCTGTACATTAAAGTGATACTACGTTTAAGAATGAACATAAAATTTAAGTTCTCAAGAATGGTCAGTATGAGTATATATTCATCATTGAATTTACCTGGTGTCATAAAGTTACAACAGAATCCCTGTAAAATCTAGAAAATTGGAAATTCATAAAACTAAGTAATTATTGATAAACGCTTAACCAAAATATTATGCGATTTTCAATAGTTAATTGCATATTTATGGATAATTACTAAATTTTTTGGATTTATCAGATTATATAAGGATTCTGTTATGTTATTTATGACACCAGGTATATCTACTGGCTCTTATTGGCCAAGTTTAAAATTGTAAAATTTTATGTTCATTCTAAGACGTAGTATTCCTTTAAACAAGCTTTATGCAACTTAAAAATATAAATTTCCACAAATAGAAATTACGAGAGCCTAAAGGGTGTATGATTTGTGAGGACAGGTAAAATAGAGATCAGGTTGACAGCTACCAGGTGTAGGCTCATTACCAGGTTCTGGGTCAGTAATCAAAGACCGAGCTATAATAGATCTGCCCTAGCTACATGTTAAGGTATACATACAACAAACTATAAATATTATTATTATTAACAATCTAAAGATATACTTAGATATATTAGTCATGCTTTTTTTTTCTTAATTTTTTGATGATTATTTTGCCCCAGGCTTAATGTTACTGTACTGTATTATTTTGAAATAAAATTTTTTATGTCTAGAAATATAATTAGCTAATCTTATATAATTACAACTTATTGAAATAATATCTTGTTTTACCAGATTAATAACAATGAATTTTTCATTATTCAATGAGTAAAGTCAGAGCCTGAATTTTGGTTTGTGACCTTGATGCCTTTGTTATTATTTGATCAAATTTAAATACTGTTAAAAAAAAGTCTTGAATGCCTAAAAAAAATTTTTTAATAAAGTTCAAATCCTCAGGCATTTAGCTTATTCAGTGTTATTATATTAACGGACCCCATTTAAAAACATGTCAACTTTCTCATGTAGACACAATAATAATTTAACCATTAGTTTACTAAATTAACATCATAATAGTTGTAAACATAACTTAAATCCTGTGTCAGCTCCTTCTTTTGAATAGTAACTTGTTTTGATGCCTGTGCCTATGATTCCGAGAGGTCAGGTGTCAGCTAATATCTAATCTCTAAATATATAAAATTATTTCTATTTTCAGGAATAGATTATAAGACTACCACTATTTTATTGGATGGTAAAAGAGTCAAACTACAATTATGGTAACTATATAATTCACAATATTTTTAAAAAAGTCTGTCTGCAAACACAATTCTTGCGTTGATTCAGTCGACAGTCAACAGTCATTGCCTATGCCAGTGAGTCCACTGTGGGCATCTAGGTCATTGAACAAGGTTGATTTGATATTCTCATTATTGAAGATCTCTTTATTTTTTTTCAGGGATACGTCAGGTCAAGGTCGTTTCTGTACGATTTTACGATCCTATTCTAGAGGCGCACAGGTAATTAGAAATGATTACTCTTTTAAAACAAAATTTTTTTTCTGCTATTTCATTCGTCAATTTGACGAGGGTTACAATAATTGAAATGATTTTATTATTAAAGTTTTATACCAAAGATGATTGTCAATTTTGGTAAAATCAGCAGGATTCTGAGATAATTCATAAAAAAAATAAATAACTTGAATATAAATGAGTTTTGTAATATCAACAACATTCTAAGATAGATTTAACAGATTATTTTCTTGGCCAGTTCTTGATTCTTGATAAGATAAGAAACAATTTTACACATTGTGAAAGAGATGGAGAAATTCTTGAAGTATGTTAAAATTGAGAAAGACTGGTATAATCTAATAATAAAGTAGACAGTAATATCCAGTCTATCCAGCTGTTATATAGATATATAGAAAGATTCAGTGTAGAAACAAGCTGTTATTATAATTATCTAATAGTTGATTAGTCGATCTGTTTCACACATGTTAACCTTAAAACTTACAAATAGTTTTTTTTTGAAAAAATTAAAAATATAATATATACATGTTTTTTTATTTAAATCATTTGAAAGTTTTCACTGTAAGCAGTGAGGATTGAGTCTGAATAGTGTTTGGAGCGTGAGGGATATACTGGTATCTCTGCAAAACAACTGTCTTAAATATTTGGGATCTTAAAGATATTAGTGTTTTGCTGGAATTTTTTCTGATGGCTAAAAACTCATTGTGCTTCCATCCTTCATCTTATCTAATATACCCATGATTCTCTCAAAATTTTAAGAAATTGCAAAATCTTAAGATGCAACAGTTTCTAAATCAGTAAACTTAATATGAATTAAACTCTAGAAGTGTATTATTCCCACACTTCATAATAACCAGTGTCACATGGTGACTGTTTCGTCCTTTCTTCAGCGTCCTTCTTGAGCGTCCTTTCTAGGAGTTCACAGATCTTATAACTGAGTAATCTCCCCTCCTATTTCAGGGTATTTTATTGGTATATGATATCACCAGTAAATGGTCGTTTGACGGAATTGACAGATGGATCAAAGAAATAAATGAGGTTTGTTAAATTAGAACTAGTTTGCTATGCCTATGTAACCTAAAGGTCTATCGTTGGAAAGCCATTTCCAATTAGCAATAGCACCATCTTGAGGTGGATGGATACTATCCCAAACACACGTCTATCGTATGAGATATGTTCTAGTTAAATAACTTTCAATTCTTAAACTAGCTGTCCTGATAAGGATTGTGTATCTGAAACACATGTCTGCAATATGAAATGAGCCCTATTCAGTTAGCTAACAATAGGTCCTGTATTGAAAACTAGCTGTCCTGATAAGGATTGTGTGTCTGAAACACATGTCCTATATTGAAAACTTGACTTCCATCCTTAATTTATTATTTCTCCTAAATAAGTATTGACAAAATTAGATGAGCTCTTAGTCATAATAAGATAGCAAGAATGCCAATGAAGGAACGGAACAGAAATGAAGCAAGCTGGGTTTTTATATAAAAATAAGATGAAATTTATAACCAGTAATTTAAAGCTTATAATAAGAAGAGTCCAATTTGACGTAATGTTCTCAATAAAAGTGTAAATATTATTTTTTCTTTCTTACAGCATGCTCCAGGAGTGCCGAAGATTCTGGTCGGAAACAGACTCCATCTGGCCTTCAACAGACAAGTCAGTATCGGGGCTGCCGAAACTTACGCTATTAAAAATGACATGGCATTTTTTGAAGTCAGTCCGTTGTGTGATTTTAATGTGACTGAATCGTTTGCGGAGTTATCTCGCTTAGCGTTAAAACGGAACGGTATGACTAGGACTTGGGGTCCCAATAAAGGTAATATATTTTATTATAATTGGTTCAGGGGACTTTTCTGTTAACACAGAAAAAAGTACCTAGGCCTCTGGCTATGTATTCTCAAACATGCTCTTAGCGCTAGGATGTTCTAGAATCAATGTTAGAAGATAAGAATCTAGGACATCCTAGCGCTAAGATTGTTTCAAGAATACGTAATAATCTGTTAGACAAAATTTATAGTAACCATAATTCTACATCTTGTAGTTCTTCCTTTTGACAATGGTCTTTCTTGGATCATTATGAATGACTGATGAGCTTTTTTCTACTTGAATAAGGTTTAGAAAAGTTCAATTTGATTCTGTTCTTTTATAAAAACCAATGTATATTTTAACTCTAATCTTTCTTGGATTGATCAAGGCTCATTTTATTACGGCCGGAAATATTTTGATTTCATCACCTGATATTTATGTTTCTTTTTATTTCAGTATTAAGCTTACAGGAAATAGCGTGTCGAACCATAGTTTCTCGTACAACCATATATGGTATTGATCAACTTCCACTGCCACCTGCATTAAAATCCCATCTGAAATCATACGCCTTGACAAACAAAACACGAGCTCGTATGCTCAGTTTCTTACACCGAGACAAACATAAAAAATCAAAGTATTTGAATCCGTGCGATTCCCCGCCAATGAACTGTCGTAAAAGTTGTTGTATTAGCTAACATAGCCTCATTTTCATCTGTGTATATACTTCATTCTGTCTCATTTCTACTAAAGAGTTATGTGCCCTTGTTGTGGTTCGTGAACTTCGTGCTAGTGTTGTGTTTCTGGGATTCGAAAGAGAGTGAGGAATAAAATGAAGGTTTTTATGCTTCCCATAAGCCATTGGTGCCATGTGGATATAATTTGTGCTAATTTTGATTCTTCTTGAAAACAAGGGATGTTGATTTTATTGTATTTGCCAGTGTTGTCTGACTAGAAATTGACTTTTTGAAATTCTTTGAGAATTTTACTGCGAAAAAACCAGAAACATTTTAAGGAAGAGAATACTAATTCAACATTTTGTATCAAATTTTCTAATAGATTCCAGAAATAAGACTTCACCTTATTTGAATAAGCTAGTAAGCTTATAGTTTGAAATCAGCTCTATGTTACAAAATGTCCGGCAGAAAATATGAAATCAACATCCCTGGTGAAAGTGACTTTGTGAATATGGATGTGCCTATTTATTTATCTTCTCATTGTGTTTTTATTATAAGATATCAACAGAATGTTCTCAACAGATCACTGTGGTTAATTTGACGGAATATTATTTGATTTCAGTATTTTCTTTAATTATAGTGCAACAAATACTTTTGCCTTGTTATACAACATGGCAGGTTTCTGTTTAACTGATGTATATTTTGGTCTTTCTTGATTACACAAATTTATTTCAATTTTCCAGTCAGATTTCATTTGTTCTCGTCATTAAGATGTAGAATTATAAGACCTATTGTTTATGAGCTCAAAAACCTACTATGTGTGTAGCTAGAAGAAGCAAGATAGTTTAAAATGGCAGTCAGAACTCAGAAGAGATAAATCTTATAAATCAGATCAAATCATTAATCATAAATCAAAATCCATAATCAGACAAATTCCTAGCCAATAGTTAGTAGTAAGCCAACCTAGAGGGGTAAAAGGGTCTTTCTGTTACTTTGTTGATGTGTTCGATGAATGAATAACCCTTAAATCTTACTTTTAAAATTGTAAAAACAAGTTATATGATTGTAAAGTTGTATTTCTTCTGGTGAAAGAGGTTGTAAAAACAAAATATGATTGAAATAAGGAAAGCACAGGCAGAGTAAACTTTGAGGGTAAGAGCCAACTATCTGAGTTTTCATTCTATTGATGAAAATATACTTTGTGTTACAATGTTTGAATACCAATATAACCTAAAGTAACATACTGACATGATATTTGTAATTTGTAAATAATTAAATTTTGTAAATGTAATTAAATATTGTAAATATGTATCAATTTTCTTACCATTTCTATCAAAACAGGGGAGTTAATTTCCTAAATCTAATCTATTCTATTTGGATATGATTGTAAATAAATTAACCTAAAGAGGCCCTCACACCATAACAATCACTAGTTGTATATGGTTGTGAATAAGAATAGAGATAATAAGTTTAGAACACAACTGAAACTGAGTTGTTAGTTGCGTATTCATGATTAATACATTATTTGTAACCATATACAACTGATGATTGCTTCGGTGTGAGCCCCCTTAACATTGTAATTTGTATGTGACATTGTAAATTAGTTCAGTCTAGTCAAGATTTTGTAGAAATTTGTATTTTTTGTATAATTAGCAGGTCCAATTTGGTTTATTGATGGTTATAAGAATCAGGTTTCCCTACAAATTGAAATTATTAGAAATGCTCATAAAACAAGCCAGTACTGTGTTCATATTACAAATAGTTTTATAGCTTGTTTCATTATTCTATTTATTGTATAGTAGATTGATTATTGTAGGCACAACAAAAAGATTTTTTCAAAACTGTTGTATTATATACCTGTGTTTCTGACATGACATGGGCCCTGCCCCTCAAAAAAATCTCATAGTCAATGTAAAGCCAACACTTAACAAATTTTTATCTTATAATTTTTCAGGAATATGGCCCTGGATGAGATTCAGAAACAACCAGACTAAAGAAAAGCTAATATTAATGAATGTAATTTAATGGTCTAGATGTATAAATTTTGTATAAATTGTAAATATTTCTATCTAATTTGTTTGTTAATAAATAACGTGTGTATTAAAACTGACAGAGTTGTGTCCCCTTTCTCTCATTATTGACATTGTCCCATACTGGACATTACTTCCTCTCTCCACTGACAATGTCAACATTGAACAATTAGAAGTTTTAAGAAAACTTTACAAAACAGAGCTTTGACCAACCAAAACATAGCTTTGACCAACCAAAACATCTGGAAAAAAACAATGTATCTCTTTTGATAATGGTTTAAAAGCCTATGTGATGCTTTTCGCTTGTATTTCAATTTGGAAGTAAATGATTTACCACTGTCATCACTATGGTACGAGTTATTTTGTATTAAAGGGAAACAACCACTATTACAGTTATACAGTTATACACTTTCACTAGTTTCAGACCACAATTAAATACGCTATAGTACCTAAACCGGGTTCAAAGGTAGATAACACCTTTGTGTACTGTAGATTTGATTTATGACTATTTGACCCGTATGACTGACCTATATAGCCCAAGTTAGATAAGTATTTACGATTGAAATATTTGAAAATGTTCATAGACGTATAATACTGGAGATCATATTTTGAGAGTAGAGTATAGTAAAATTCCCCAATTTACCAAAGTTTTACCTTTCTCTACTTGATCTAGAGATTGGTTTTATCAGTGCCAAGAACGTATATAGGCCGATCAATTTACAGTGAATCTCCTTAACTTTTATTTCAGTTAAAGAAATGATACTACCACAGATAGTATTACAGAGACATCCTTAGTTAACATATCTAATTATCTTAACCTTTGATACTACCACAGATTGTATTACAGAGACATCCTTAGTTAACATATCTAATTATCTTAACCTTTGATACTACCACAGATAGTATTGCAGAGACATCCTTAGTTAACATATCTAATTATCTTAACCTTTGATACAACCACAGATAGTATTACAGAGACATCCTTAATTAACATATCTAATTATCTTAACCTTTGATACTACCACATATAGTATTACAGAGACATCCTTAGTAAACATATCTAATTATCTTAACCTTTGGTACTACTACAGATAGTATTACAGAGACATCCTTAGTTAACATATCTAATTATCTTAACCTTTGATACTACCACAGATAGTATTACAGAGACATCCTTAGTTAACATATCTAATTATCTTAACCTTTGATACTACCACAGATAGTATAACAGAGACATCCTTAGTTAACATATCTAATTATCTTAACCTTTGATACTACCACAGATAGTATTACAGAGACATCCTTAGTTAACATATCTAATTATCTTAACCTTTGGTACTACTACAGATAGTATTACAGAGACATCCTTAGTTAACATATCTAATTATCTTAACCTTTGATACTACCACAGATAGTATTACAGAGACATCCTTAGTTAACATATCTAATTATCTTAACCTTTGATACTACCACAGATAGTATAACAGAGACATCCTTTGTTAACATATCTAATTATCTTAACCTTTGATACTACCACAGATAGTATAACAGAGACATCCTTAGTTAACATATCTAAGTATCTTAACCTTTAACTTGCACCTTGTTTTATCATAAATCTTTACTTTGTGACCTAGGCCAGAGCTTTCATGAGACTATGTTATCATCACCATCTAACACACCCCAATCTAATACTACAATTACTATGGAATAAATCACTTCTTGAATATAAAAAATCTTCAGTTTTAAAAATCATAAAAACGTTCATGTTATCTAAATTCTAAATTTGGAACGAAGACAATTCCTGGAAATGCACATTTTGAATTCATCATTGTCAAAGCTTGATGGATTATAATTCAGGTCAGTTAATTATTTTAAAGAAAAAGCATAAAATAAAGTTTTAATAAAGAGACAACCTTATCAAGTTTCAGATTTCAATTAAGATATGTAAAATCTGGTGTTTTCCAAGGTTTTTTTTAAGAAAACATATATTTCAACATATATATAACTAAAAATTCTTTTGGGCAAAGATCGATAATATTAAACCTCGACTTCGCCACTTTTGGGCAAAGATCGATAATATTAAACCTCGACTTCGCCACTTTTGGACAAAGATCGATAATATTAAACCTCGACTACGCCACTTTTGGGCAAAGATCGATAATATTAAACCTCGACTTCGCCACTTTTGGACAAAGATCGATAATATTAAACCTCGACTACGCCACTTTTGGGCAAAGATTGATAATATTAAACCTCGACTACGCCACTTTTGGGCAAAGATCGATAATATTAAACTTCGACTACGCCACTTTTGGGCAAAGATCGATAATATTAAACTTCGACTACGCCACTTTTGGGCAAAGATCGATAATATTAAACTTCGACTACGCCACTTTTGGGCAAAGATCGATAATATTAAACTTCGACTACGCCACTTTTGGGCAAAGATCGATAATATTAAACCTCGACCACGCCACTTTTGGGCAAAGATCGATAATATTAAACCTCGACCACGCCACTTTTGGGCAAAGATCGATAATATTAAACCTCGACTACGCCCGGATGGATAACCTATGACCTTTGGTTAAGATTTTTTGTGATGTCAACTCAATTTTGAAAGTAGGCCAAAGTTATCGTTCGTCGATATTATTCTATTTATAAAATACAAAAAATGGAAGCGGTCTGTCTTTCGGAGACTAGAAAAGAGTCGGAAATTTTCAATAGAAATCGATAAAAACCTGTTTGTTTTGAAAAAGGAAGAGATGAGAAACAATACCTGGTTGTCAAGGTAAACAATGATCGTAACTAAGATACATATAAAAAATATTATGATAAACAATAAGTCTGCAGTCTTCCAGCTAAAAACTAAAAACAATTTCAATTCATAATTGATTGATTTCATAGACTGAGTTTTAGAATTTATATTGTAAAAAGTTTTTCTGATAGCATCAATTTACATCATTCTAATTTTCAATCAGACATCTGTGGTTCCTGCAATTCTAAAAAGAAGTGATTGACGACGTCTCTAATCGCAAACTATGCTTTATCTCATAAGACTCCTTGCGACGCCATCAAATACTTAGTTTAAATGGAATTGCAGGAACCACAGACGTCAGACAAATATGTATCCATGTACATCTCCTATAAGGTATTCTGCATCGTCTCTTCAATAGCCCGAAACAGTCTTATAATTAAAGAAAATCACATATTGAAGACTGAGAAAAACATGATCTGAACATGAACATGATGATTTTACACAATTTTCTAATCTGGCCAATCAAAAGTCTGCCTCAAGGCAATGCTTATGATTTGTTTTGTAAATGGGAACACATGAAACTCTTGAATATCATATGAGTACGAAACAAACCCTGTCGACACCCACCTACCTAGCCTTACAACTATAATAGTATAGAAACATAATATATTGTTCATCGATTGCGTAATGGTGTATTTAGTTACGTAAATATGAAGAAATTTGAAGAAATATTTACAAGACGTTGTCGTGCAGATGTCATGTTATTATTTTATGTTTATACTAATTAACAATTTAACAAGTTTATTACAAAAAATATGCATATTAAATAACCACGTGACGCACTAATTTGCATATGTTTTCCCATGTAGCTTTTGTATGTGCGTTTACATCTTCTCTTATCTTACAATATTTACATATTCCATTTCTCACCCCTCAGGTTTCTTTTCTTCTCCCCCAGTAAAAAAATGTGTTGAAACAATTTTTGAAATTAATTGAATTTGACACAATGACGGTATATAAACTTGAAGAATTTTCAACAAATCATCCGAAGTTTGAAGATTTCAAGTTCAGG